TAAATAGCACCTTCTCAGAATGGATCAACTGTGTCAACTCTTGAAACTGTGGCTGCAGTCAACCTACTTCACATATGGGGAGCAATATTATAGGCAGAAACATGGGGGTGCTATGGGGTCTCCAGTTTCTCCTATTGTTGCCAACCTGTACATGGAGGAGGTAGAAAAGAGAGCCTTGACGTCCTTTTCAGGGACACCACCAAGTCATTGGTTCAGGTATGTTGACGACACCTGGGTTAAAATCAAATCTCAGGAAGTCCAACATTTTACTGACCACATCAACTCTGTGGATAAATACATCAAGTTCACATGAGAAGATGAAAAAAATGGCAGGTTGGCTTTCTTGGACTGTGAGGTCTCAGTCTCTGATAGAGGACATTGGCAAACTGAGGTGTACCGCAAACCCACCCACACAGACCAGTATTTGCAGTTTGACTCCCATCACCCTTTGGAGCACAAGTTAGGAGTCATCAGGACTCTGTACCACAGAGCAGACAGCGTCCCCACTAGCTCAGGAGCCAGGCAGAAGGAGAAATCCCACACAAGACAGGCTCTAGAGCAATGTGGATATCCTAACTGGGCCTTCCTGAAAGCAGAGAAGAAACCCAAACAGGATTCCAGTCAGCCAACAGGTGAAAAGGAGGAACCCAGACCCAGACCAGTGGTCATTCCATATGTTGAGGGAGTATCAGAGAAACTGAGACGTTTATTTTCTAAACATAACGTCCCAGTGGCTTTTAAACCCCAAAATACTTTACGGCAAAGACTGGTTCATCCCAAAGATCCAGTCCCCCGGCACAAACAGAGCAATGTTGTGTATGCTGTTCAGTGTCAGGATGGCTGTGATCAGTCTTACATCGGGGAAACAAAACAGCCACTGGCCAAAAGGATGGCCCAGCACAGAAGATCAACATCATCAGGCCAGGACTCTGCAGTCTACACTCATCTCCAGGCCAGCGGTCACTCTTTCAGGGATGAAGATGTTCACATCCTGGACAGAGAGGAACGATGGTTTGAGAGAGGAGTAAAGGAGGCCATCTTTGTGAAAAGAAATCGTCCATCATTAAACAGGGGTGGAGGCCTACGTGTTCAACTGTCCCCCTCTTACAATGCTGTTATTGCTAGTATCACTCAGCCCTCTGTGAACAGTAAACAGCCATCAGTGTGCTAATGATCCATTGTTAGGCTGATGGTCCTTCTTGAGCATGTGATCAGCTGGTTTTGGTTGTCAGCAGCAAAACTGGTTGATCCACTCTGAGAAGGTGCTATTTAAGAGACTGAGCTGAATACAGCTCCTCAGACTGAGGAAGTCTCTCGGACGAGAGACGAAACGTTTCTACATTTTTTGTTGTTTTGCTTTGTTTTGGGTTTTTTTGAATGTCCAGAGGACCAGATTTAACTTTTTTAGAGTAAAAATATGAAGTTTGTTTTGAGGCTCAAATATTCTATATTCAACATGAGAACAAGCACACTCTTAGTCTGGTTTATGCTGAAATTAGGGTTGCACAAGCTATGCAACAGGGTCTGTGTGTCCCTGTCTGCTCACTCCCTGCTTGTGCACACACCAGGAAATCATCCAAATAAGCCACCTACTGCTCAAGACAGGCTCAGAGCCACCTCCACACACTTGCTGAAGAACCTCTGAGCTAGTGACAACCCAAGTAGTAAGGTCTGATATTTGTATGCCTCACACTGAGAGGTGAGCCTGAGAAATGAGTGTCTTTTTTTTTGGAATGAGTAAATTTAATTTAATTTTATTTAATTGGAATTAAAACCATTGTTCAGTTTGCAGCCATTTTCGTGACTTCAGACCACACCACTCCATGGAAACTCTGAGGTTTTCCTGAGAATTGCAATCTGTAACTCTTGACAATCTTCATCTGCATCTAGGGGATGCATGAAATTCAAAGATGCAGCTCTGTATCTCTGCTCTGGGAGGAGCAGCTAGACCCTGGCTGGAATAGATGCAGCAGTGTTTTTGAGCCTGTGATATTTAACTGGATCTAATGAAACATAGGTTCTGAGGACTGGAGCCTGGGTCTCCTGTAGCTACTGATACATCTTCTTGTTGCCACAGCAGTGAAGCCTTGACACTCCTGCCATGACTTGTGCAGTGCAGCCTTCAAGAGAAGCAGAGGTCAAATGCCTCTCCCTGCTTTGTCCTGAGGTTGCTCGCTCTCTGCGCAGTGGTGACCACCTCTCCATCCAGCCATTTAGCCCATGACGGGTCTAATGAGGAATCCATGACAGTCTGTACTGGTCTGGTGGGAAAATTATTGTTCACTAATGTTGTTTATTCAATAAAACCACAACTCATGGCAGATGAAGATTTTTAACTGGCTTTACCTGTAAGGGCTGCATTCTGGACAGGTACATTACATACAGTGTCACAGAATGGAACCCCAAACTAAGTCTTCTGCTGAACTTTGTAACATTAACAGTTCAGTGGGCATTCCTTTGTGCTCAAGCCAACTGTGGTCCCAACTCACAAAAGCATACAGATCTGGTTTATGGGCCAGGGAGGCACTGCGAGTTGGCCTCCAGGTCGAGATAAGATAGTGTTTTGGGGGACAGCAAAGCAGCATAATGTCATGGTAGGAGGGAAAGATGTTCTCAGCCACAATACAACAACAAAAAATCAATATATTCATAACCCTTGACTGAAAACTCTATAACATTTAGCCCATAACTTGGAATAGCTCCACCTCGTAGGATGGAGAGGAGAGTGATCACATTCAAATCTGTTATGGACCGCAGACCTGTAAAGCTTTTGATACATTGAAGCTGTGAAGTGCTCCATTTGGCCTGCCTTTGTTCCTACAGCTGCCAGACAAGAGTAGCAGTTGTAGTAGAAGTGAAAAGCTGTCTGCTCCACCACTAGGTAACCCTAGTCTAGACAAATGACAGAGTCATGAAGCAGGTGAAAATGACTTAATCAGCTTTACTTGCATACAAAGGTAACCAGGTTACAGACAACGCACAGATACAATGTTGTTAAGTGAACCCAAGGTTTCACTTCCATGCAACCATATTTATTACATTTCAACATGTGAATCTTCTGTGAGAGACTCATCTCCACCCTGTGCTGAATGCTTATTACATGTACACACAGCTGTCTGCAAAGAGGCACACAGGGGGGCATAATGAGAGTCCCGGATCTGTCTGTCTCTCATGGCCATTGCTGATGAGACACACAAAGTCCCAGAAGGTCATAGCACACAGAGATAAACAGTAGTGGAGTTCATAAAGCACAGAGTTCATAGTTTATTATGACACATTAGTCAGGCATATCAGCCATTCATGATCCATAACTCATGATTTTCCCAACAGTTCCAAATTCATTTCCATCTTCTTGTCCTCTCCTTCATTGTCCTCATCTTCTGAGTCGAAAGGCTGGCCATGCAGAAACTTCAAAATAGGTTATTCCGATTCCACCATGTACACCCCCAAACACAAGAGCACCCCAGGGCATGGTGCTGGCTTTTCTTCTCTTCACCCTCTACACCTTTGACTTCTGCTACAACTCTGAGCTGTGTCACATCCATAAGTTCACAGATGACACTACTATTGTTGGATGCATCGGACGACAGAGTGAAGTATAGGACTCTGGTGAGGGGCTTTGCTATCTGGTGCCACATTAACCATCTTCAGTTCAACAAAGACAAATGTGCTGTTATTGACTTTGGGAAGCTCATACCAAGGCCAAGATCTGTTCTGATCAATGTGATTGAGGTGGAGGCTGTAGACTCCTATAAGCACTTGGATTGTAGCTAGACAGCAAATTGGACTGGACAACCCACACCAACTACCTCTACAAGCAGGATATACTTCATGAGGAAACTGCAGTTCTTTAACATCTGCAGGAAACTTCTGTGGATATTCTGTCAGTCTGCTGTTGCTAGTGTTTTTTTTCTATGCCATGGTGTGTTGAGGGTCAGCATATCCAAGAAGGATACATCCAGACTAGACAAACTGATCAGGTGAGCTGGGTCTTTGGACAGCATGAAGCTGGACTCTCTGGTGACAGTGGCAGAGACAAGAACTCTGGACAAAACAATGAAAATTATGAATGATGCCCATCACCTTCTGTACACCATCACCAGCAACCCGAGAAGCCTACTCAGTGACAGACTGCTCCTTCTCAGTTGCAGGACTAACAGACTGGAAAATACCATTTTGTTCCTCATGACATCAGACTGTACAACTCCTTCTTGGGGGATAGGGGGTAGACAGAAGACGGGAAAGAGCAGCAGCCACTACCATTGCACTAGCAATATCTAGTTACTGGTTATACAATATAATTTATGTTAATATGTATAAGTGTGTATATGATATTATTTATCTTTACTTGGTTTGAGTTTTATATTTGCTGTTACTTTTGACAGTGTGTTGCTACTGTCTCTTTTTTATCACCTGTACAACGCTACTGAAATTTTAATTTCCCAGAAGGAGTCTTGCCAAGTGATCAGTTCAATTCTATCTAATCTAATAAAGTTTAACTACCCTGCACACACCTGCAGCACCCATATAACCACCAGACTTACATCCTGGCTTTGCCAATGTCTCTGGGTGACAGGGCTATTGAGGCTGCTGAAACCTGCATAATGCTACAGAGCATGCCTGAGCAAGGGTCAGCCAGTGCCTCCCAGGCTCACTTTACCCCCATGCATACAATGCAGAGGGGATGGGGATCCTTCCCTGAGATGTTGAGCCTACAGGAAACTGAACAGGGCTGGGACATGACGTCCTTAGCCTGGCTGCCACTCACGTGGCCAGACTTCAGGTTAGAGCATCAGTTTCTTATGTTCAGAAACACAAGACTGATCCTTGACAACATTTAAGAGGCCTTATGAGGTTTCCATTATAAACACATAAACTTGTCTATAAATTGTCTCAGCCAATCATTTACCCCCAAACATAAAGTAACAAGAACTCACATATACACCAATAAACCAGAACCAATGCTCGTTGCAGCTATCTGTTATCATGTGTCTTCCTAGGTCATCTTCCACCCTGAGTTTCTGTCCTCCACCAGTCCTCTGCTGCCCATGGACTATGAGGACTTTGTCCGTGGCTGTAACCTTGGGGTGTTTCCTTCTTACTATGAACCATGGGGATACACACCAGGTAATCTTTGACTCGAACACTGCTGCTAACACTGTGCAAGCATGCACACAAGTCTTAAATGTGATCCTGCACAAAAGCTAAATACACTGATCATTTGTACATGTCAACTAGTGTTGCAAGACAACATATGGTTTTTTGACAATTGTGAGACAGATCTTATACGCTGTTGTTTTTATTATCACACATTAAAACTTACAATATATTTAGCTGAGAAAATTCCAGATTAAACATTTCTTTTACCAAAACATCTTAGCCAACACAGTAGTAACAGACAAGATAAATAAGTAAGATTTTAGTAAGCAGCTTATATATTTAAATAACAGGCTGTGGTATGTATTATCACCACATGCTTAAATATTTTTTCACTTCAGTAACTCTAGAAACAGGTGACAGGAATGGACACAGTAAAGGCAAGAACTTACCAGTGTCATTAAAAATAACACATTTCGTATGCGACAGAACAAATACTGTATAGCTTTGTAAATAAATCAAACCTTATAGCTCTCAAAGCAACAAGTTTGGACCTTGAACTTTAGGATAGAGGCACTTTCTTTGGCTGGGCCCAGTCTAGATTCTGATTCAGACAGCTGGGTGACTCACATCAAAAAGGAAATCCATCATCAGATGGAGGACTGAGAGACAGGAGGGTGCACCCCACTTGGGTGCTCCTATGAGAGTGATAGATGTGTAGATGGGCAGCCGGGAAGGCTGCCAGAGACTTAACTAACTTCCCCTCAGTTCTTTTATTCAATCCATTCAATGTTTTAAACTACATTAAGCAAAGGAGTGACAGCCTGAACGAGCCAGATGAACAACGTGGGACCAGTATATCCAGGATGAAAACAGAGGAAGAGTTCAGTTCATTAACGCAGTTTACAGTTAATTAAACTGAACACACTATTAAAAACAAGTTATCAGTATTTGTGTGACATACAATTTGTGGTGTTGAATAAATAAATAAAAATTAAACTTGATGTTTTCATTTTCAACTTTAATAACATGCAACATGTTTCGCATCATTTTAATCACATAATCTGAATTACATAAATCCAGATAGCTTCATTATATATCTCACACTTAACATAAATACTGTTTATTATTGTTAAACTTATTGTAGTGCAGCGCGACGTGTGCACGTGCCTCAAGAGGCTCATTCAATAAACATTGATATTAGAACTGGATCCGACTGTGTCTCTTCCAACACAGATGTCGGTCACAGCACCTAGATTCTGAAGTAGATTAACTACGAGATTAAAAATATATTCCATCAGTCGTAGTTCAGAAAGCAGTGTGTCCGCTGCCATGTTGATAGAAATATGCCGTCTGTTCACACGTGCATGCGCACATGTGGTTTAACACAAAGCCTCAGCAGGACATGTTTACATTATCTACGGGGGGTCAACGAAAAACCTTCACTCTGGAAGGTGGATTCAGAAACCTCCGGATTCAAAGAGGGGAGCTATTGGTGTCGTGTAAATGAACAGCAGAACCGCAGAGAGAAAGGAGCGGATTCATTCAAAATATGTGCCGTGTAAATGTCTCCTCATTCTACAAATAGTACCTTCTCATAATGCATCAACCAGTTTGCTGGTGACAGCCAATAGTAGTTGTTCATATGCAAAAGAAGGACCACCAGTCTAACGAACAATTCTTGGTGCCCTGATGGCTGTTTACTATTCACAGAGGGCTGAGTGATACTAGCAATCACAGCATTGTAAGAGGGGGACAGTTGAACACGGAGGCCTCCACCCCTGTTTAATGATGGACAGTTTCTCTTCACAAAAAAGATGACTTCTTTAAATCCTCTCTCAAACTATCGTTCCTCTCTATCAAGTATATGAACATCTTACCATCCAGAGGTGAAGTGCTCACACCTGCCCCCTTCCTGTGCCCTTGAGCAAAGTCGTTAATATCCCCCATGCTGCTCCATAGGTGCCTTGGATGGCAGACCTCTGCTCCACACATGTGGGCTGCGGTAGCTCAATAATCAGTGGTTGCCAGGAAGGGCATCTAGTGTAAAAACAAGTGCCAAATCTCCTATCAAGTTTGCTCATTGTGGCGACTCCTGAAGAAGAGAGAGTCCAAAAAAAGAAGAAAAAAAATTCATAGGAGAAAAGAGAATAAAAATGTTTTATAGGATTTATCAGGAATAGTGAGTTGGAACGTTCAATGAAAATGGCCTCAACTTTTTGGAAAGAGTTTTTTGGATCAAAACATTTAAGAGGATTATGTTCTTGAAATAGAACATCTTGTTTTGTGATTCTTTGGTCGATTGCTCCGGTCTTTAAACATCCAGTTGTGTTCTTCATCTCTGCTCAGGGGAGTGTACTGTTATGGGTATTCCCAGTGTGACCACCAACCTGTCAGGTTTTGGCTGTTTTATGGAGGAGCATGTTTCAGACCCTGCAGCCTATGGTGTGTAAACACACACTAACACACTGAAGCTTTATGAATGTTCAAGTGTTCACAAGTTTTACATATAACTTCTCTCTTTAGGTATCTACATTGTAGACCGGCGTTTCCGATCCGCTGAGGAGTCCTGTAACCAGCTGACCCAGTTCATGTTCAATTTCTGCCAGCAGTCTCGGCGCCAACGCATTATCCAGCGAAACCGAACTGAAAGGCTTTCTGACCTGCTGGACTGGAGATACCTGGGACGGGTCAGTTACTGCACCTCTGTTTAGACAGACAGACAAAACAGACAGACTGACAGACTGACTGACTGACTTAGCATAAAACAAAACTTTTATGCGTTCTCTGTTTGCTGCCTCACACGCTACATGCACAACAATCATACAACAATTGAGTGAATAAGAGTCTTGTTGTGCCATTACTGGTGCATGTCTGATGCAAAGGCTATTTAACACCTTTCTCATATCACAACTCTGAAGACCAAAGACCATTGTCAGCAGGTTTAGTGACATTCAAAAGGGTGAAACTGAAAACGACAAACAGTAAAATTAAAATACAAGTATGTACCACGTAAAATGCACTTTTATAGTGAAACTGAAAGCAAGAAAAAAACAATACAACTGAAATGTACATATGTGCAGCCTAAAATGCACTTTTATACTGGATTTTCTGCTGAATAACATCCTTAATAGTTCTATTTGTATGAACCTACACTACCAACGCCATTTTGGACAACATCGCAAATCGCGGGTAATTTGCATAACAAAGAAAAATTCATTTCACAGTCAAATAATGCATTAGTAGGCTATATTTAGCACCAAAACAAAGTTACAAAACTAATCCTTCAGTATCCTGATGCATGCTCAATAGTCCAGGTAGAAAAATAAAAAAGTTACGTCTGGTCCTCTGGACATTCAAAAAACAAAACAAAACAAAAAAAATGTAGAAACATTTCATCTTTCATCCGAAAGACTTCCTCAGTCTGAGGTGCTGTATTCAGCTCAGTCTTATAAATAGCACCTTCTCAGAGTGGATCAACCAGTTTGCTGCTGACAACCAAAACCAGCTGCTCACATGTTTAAGGACCATCATCCTAACGATGGATCATTAGCACACTGATGGCTGTTTACTATTCACAGAGGGCTGAGTGATACTAGCAATAACAGCATTGTAAGAGGGGGGCAATTGAACATGGAGGCCTCCACCCCTGTTTAATGATGGACGGTTTCTTTTCACAAAGATGGCCTCCTTTACTCCTCTCGCAAACCATCGTTCCTCTCTATCAAGGATGTGAACATCTTCATCCCTGAAAGAGTGACCGCTGGCCTGGAGATGAGTGTAGACCGCAGAGTCTTGGCCTGATGATGTTGATCTTCTGTGTTTATAAGACTGAGCTGAACACAACACCTCAGACTGAAGGAATCTTTTGGATGAAAGATGAAACGTTTCTACAATTTTTTTGTTTTGTTTTTTGAATGTCCAGAGGACAAGACTTAATTTTTTAGATAATCCTTCAGTACATACTGGCAATAAAACCCCAAACAAAAGATACATGCAGTAATCTTCCTTCAACAACCATGAAACGGTTGACGACATCACTTGTTACAACGGTGGTCTTGTCTAATTGCCACCACTGTTCAACAAAGTTTTGGTTCAAATAAAAAACACAGTTGTCAAGTTGCCACACTCAAAACAAACAGAGGAATGATCTTCTGAGTCAGAAGAGCAGCTGGGGTCAAGATGAAAGGGTCACTCGAGTCTGTAGAAACTGGGACAAGAGGTCTAGCATTTATAATAGCTGCCACCTCTGCCATTAAGGTGTTGAGATCTTCATTAGTTAGGTTTGTGGTCTTGAGTTTGAAAAACATAGACTCCAATATTCTCCGGGTCAGGCCAATTATTCTCTCCCATGACAAACCAAAATGGGAAGCATGTGGTGAGTTAAAAGTCCAAGTACATCCATTATCTTTACCCGCTTCTTCAATTTTGGGTCACAGGGGTCGCCAGTGCCCATGTCCAGCAATCACTGTGCGAGGGTCGGGGTACACCCTAGACGGGTCGCAAGTCCATCACAGGGACACATAGAGACAAACGAGACAAACAACCATTCATTCTCTCACTCACACCTAGGGACAATTTAGAGTTACCAATCAGTCTAACATGCATGTTTTTGGTCTGTGGGAGGAAACCGGAGCACCTGGAAAAAACCCACGCATGCATGGAGAGAACATGCAAACTCCACCCAGAAAGGCCCCTGGACCAGTGTTTGAACCAAGGACCTGCTCACTGAGAGGCAGTAGCTCTACCAGTTGCACCACCGTGCTGCCCCCAGATACATCCACATTCTTTTAAGTAGGTCTGTGCAGCTGTATTGTCCAAGTTTGAGGAGATCTCCAGTACCTTACATGCGCTGACAAAGTTGTACCTGGATCCGAACAAATAGTTTTAATAGGTCCTCTTATTGTCAGAAACTGTATAAATGCATTAATAAAGCTAGATGTGTCGAGTGAGTCTACCACCTCAATGTGAACTGCCCTAATACTCAGGCATGTGAATATGACAGCCCACCTTTTCTTTTGGTTCAAACTTCCTCTAGTACATCGGGAAGACACAAACCATGGGCCGAACACATCTAAGCCTACATTTGTGAATGGAAGGTCTGTTGCAAGTCTGTCTGGAGGGAGGTTTGACATTTTTTGTGTGCTCAGAGAGACACAAAGTCTTTTGCCGGTTATACAATGATAGATGATTGTGCTCACCTTTCTCTTGCCACCCACTATCCACCATCCTGAAGAGCGTATAACTCCTTCAGTAAACAGGCAACCTTGATGATGGACCTGATCGTGGTAGTGCTTTATGAGAAAAATTGCAACATGGTGGTGGCCTGGAACTATAAACGGTTTCTTCTCACCTTGGGTTGTGGAGTTCTATCAAACTTTGTTGTTCAATAAAATTTAGCAGACTGAGAACTTTGTTAAAAAACACGTAGCAAGGGTTATTTCTCTTCTACAGAAGGAAGAACACATGAAACGAAAACGCAGCCCAAGAGTTCTTGTGTGTTCTCCAAAATCATGAGCAATACAGTCTCATTTATACACTTTCACACGTAACAGATCTTGCTTTGACACAAAAGGCGTTAACCTAATCTTATCAGGGTAAAAACAGACAGTACGTTTGTGATCAGTGACAATCTGGAGTTGGGGTTCCGTACCGGCAGTCTGTGAGAAACAAAAGTTGAAAAGCTTCACACACTGATGTT